GATTGACTAGCCTTCATTCATGCAATCATATAGTCTGCAAATAACTATTATCTTATTCATCTTAGTTTTTTTCTAATCACTTCCAGTGGCGCAATTTTTACTCCAAAAGCTCGTGCGTAGGCTTCCATTAAATGCTGATTATCTCGAAAACGAGCTCAGGACACCCTATTTTTCTTTCCAGATTTGGAATCAGCATTAAATTTCAATTCGGAAAATCGAAGTTTTAAAAAAAGCTTAAATCAATTTCCAAAAGTAGGCAGTCACCTTAAATGTTATGTATTACACATTTAAAGGGGGACTAGCACTTAAATCTTCCGAAATTTAATTCGGCTGAAACTTCAATAAAATAAACTTTAAGGGTCTAATAATCACTAGTTAAAGTTTTTTCTTCATAATCCAATGAGAAGAATTATATTTTTACGAATTTGTATAGGTGTCAGTGACGTCACACACTCAACACTAAACATTGCTCCATACATTTCTTCGTAAATAACTTCATGTTTTACTTTAATTCTATTGAACACAAAGGTCCGCTGAGGGACTTTACGTACATAACTTGTGGTTTGAATCATTTTATGGTATCTTTTCATTGAAACTGAGTATAAAACTAGCGTATATTTTGATTACAAAATACAAAGAAATGTATGTAGCAATGTTTAGTGTTGAGTGTATGACGTCACAGACTCCTATTAAAAATCGCAAAAATATAATACTTCCCATCAGAATATCAGGAAAAAACTTTAACCAGTGATTATTAGACCTTTAAGGGTTATTCCAGTAATGTTGCAGCTGAATTAAAATTCGAAAGATTTACATGCTAGTCCCCTTTAGGTCAATATCAGTGTGATAGCAACAGAGAACTTGAAACTGGAGTATTTGGTTGATAATCTTCCTTCCTCCAAGAACACGCATGCCACTGCAATAATTTGTAACACGAAATTATTTTGCATTTTATTTTACAGCAGCACCCAAAAGATTTATGTCAAGGAAATTAAAAATAGTTCGGCAGCAAGGTAAGAGTATACTGATGATTTTAGCATTTCTGGGGTTGTAGAGCACATTACATGTATGTGCACTGTTTTAGAGGAATCTAAATACTTAATAAGTGTTTGTAAAACGTTTAATTTGGAGGAACGTAATATGTGACTCTTGTCCTGTTGTTCTTTCCCGCAACTAGTGTTTTCCTTAATTTATTTGTTAAATAAGTACTAGTTGTAAAGCTAATAAATGAATAATAAATAAATACTTGTATGGCATCTTTTTCACTTGCTGATAGTAAAAAGTGATAGGAAGCCTTACATGTAGTTCTCATGTTGATTTTCAAATTTCTTTATGCATGAACTGTCATGTAAATTCCAACCAGTTAACAAATTGATTCACAGCCAGGGAAAATATCTAACAGATTATGACCTTAGAAAGACAATTATATATGAAAACTAATGAAACAATACGATGTTTTCTTGTTGTTACCTCAAGAACATCATCAGGTCAGTTTCTAACTGACATGATGATGTTGTAGAGATGATAGCAGAACGTCATATTGTTTTATCAGTTTTCACACAGAAAATAATTATTATTTAATAATAGTAAAACATGTCTAATGTTTATATTTTTCTTCATATTTCTAGGATCTCTGTCTAAAAGCAGCAGTAGTACTAATCTTAACCCACCATCAATAGATACAAGCTCTACACCAGCATCCCCAAACCAGTCAGAACCAGGTTCACCTGCGTCCCCATCTGATGTACCACCATTAACAGGACAGATCTTATCTGCTGAGAGTAATGTGGGCACAGGAAACCAGACTAGTGTCAGTGATGTTGAATCAAGTGCACTTGAGCAAAATGAATCTGAATGTGTTGATGATGCTGATGATGTTAGTAATAAAGATGATAATGAGGATGATGATGATGCTGATGATGATAATGATGATGCTGATGCTGATGATGACAATGATTTTGATGGTGGTGCTGGTGATGCTGATGATGCTGCTGCTGCTGATGACAATGCAGAAGATGATGATGATGATGAAAGCTGGCAGCATGAAGAATTACCAGAGGTTCCCATGGATACACCGACCCTGGAATGTCCTGCATTCATAGCTGGCACATCCTCAGAAACACCAAAAGCCGCTGCAGTTTTTCATATTCCTGGCAAGACTATCGTCCTTGACCACCGGACATCACCCACAAAAAGGCCAAGGTCTAGTTTAGAAGAGGTAAATTTTGAAAATGAGTCATTGAATCAGTTGAATGTTAAACTGCTATGAACTTGAGAGAGTTAAGAATTAAGTGTTAAGAGTCTCCTAGTGAACAGATTTCAGGGCTCATTTTGATTATAAGAGGCTTATTGCCATTGGATTTGCCATTCACCAGCAATGCAACCTGGGCGTTCCATTACTGGACTTGGTGTCATATTGAGAAGAGTTGTTCGTTGACTCTCTTCCATGCTTTCTCTAGTTATCCTCCTTCTTCAAAAATCAACTTCTAAATTCAAATTGGAATTTCAGTGGATGAATAACTACTTCTTAGAAATGCCACTGCTATATCTTTGTTGTTTCATTATTTCTGTTATTTATTCATCTTAGTAAAGTATATGAGGATTTTGATAATTGTTGAATATTGTATTTTTCACTTTATTGTATTTTATTAAGTATATTTTTGATTTCATTTTGTTTTTGGTTTAGTTATTTGGTGTCCCTTGTGATGACGATGAACCTGGATCACATCAAAATCCACAGATAGAAGGTAAACAAGTTAAGATAATTAGTTTCTTCAAACAAACGAATGCCCTATTTTGCTATGGTGTCGCATGAAGAATCATGTTTGTGGAAGGGGGGCAAAGCCGTAACAACACAAAGAAAAGCGTGAAAAGTTTAATTTTTAGAACTTAGAAAAACATTAATAGCCACCTAATACCTCATATATCCTCTAGGATAAACTACATTTTCTTAAATGTTTGAAACCCAGACAATTCAGGCCTACAATTCTGCTGAATCTATAACTAGTCCAAATTCTTATTCTTCTTTAGGATTCTGTCCCCCTTATAAACAAGCTGTAACGTCATATTGAAATAGGGCAATTGAAAATTTAAGAATGCGGGGTTTATTTTAGTACAGGGCTTAAAATAACAGCAAGTCAGAGGACATTGTTTGATCACTTGTGGCCAAACACCTTGTAGACCGTTTCTCTTGACTCCTTGTCACACTGATTGATCACACGTTGATCAGTCTGTTGTGATTGTTTTTCATATCATGTCCAGCCTGGCATCAAGTAGTATTCTTTTAAGCCTAGTACATAGTAAAAGTGTTACCGCTTTTCAAATCATATTTATTGTATAATAAATATAAATTTATATGAAATTAAAATTTGTATAGGAAATCGCACGATCTCGAGTACAATTTGGAAATTAATACRCACGAGTAATGTTTTGAAAGTTCTTATATTACGAGTGTCTATTAATTCCAAATTGTACGAGAAGATCGTGTGATTTTTTGTTTATACTTCACTCAACAAAATTTCAGTAAAAAATTCGAAGCGGTGCCGTTCATCTTTGTCTATTTGGCGGCCGATTTTCAGTCCATCGTGCAGCTGAAATGCATAAAAAAGATTAGTTCTTACGGCTTTAAAATTTTATTTATGTTTTTTAAGTACAAAATGATAGAAAATAATTGTTTTGACATTGTTTTGGCCTTGTTGCCATAGCGACTCAATTCGGTACTCCTACGGAGTACAATTAACGCTATAATTGTACTCCTCTCGACCAATCAGAGTCGAGTAATTTTGTTGAGTGTACTATAAGGTGTGAAATTAAAATTTGGTGTGAAATGTGATATTTGGTGTGAAATGTGATATTTGGTGTGAAATGTGATATTTGGTGTGAAATTGAAATTTGGTGTGAAATGTGATATTTGGTGTGAAATGTGATATTTGGTGTGAAATGTGATCGCTTGGGTGAGTGTAGTCTTGAGAAAGGCTGTCGTTGAAGGTCACTGACGTTTCAACAACCTGAGCGGAAGTCATTTTCAGAGTCCAGTGAGAAAATGGGAAATTAAGATTAAAATTCTGTACTAAATTGCAGAGGAAGAAAAGGAGGAAGTGTCTCCAGCTAAAAGAGTAAAGACAATTTCCCAAGAAACCCATGAAGCAATTGTTAAGGCAGTGTAAGTAGAAATAATTATCTTTGATATTTAATTTGTTATCTTTGCGGTTGCTGTGCACTGCTAATGCGCAGGGCCGCCTCTCCATTGCAACCTAGGTTTCATATGTGAGTGGAGTTGTTTGTTGGTTCTCCCCTGTGCTTTGAGTATTTTTCTCCAGGTTCTCTGGTTTTATAACCTGTAGTACTTTCTCTGTTAATTTGCTATTTGTGTTTGTGTTACTTTACAGGAACCAAGAATTGTCTAAAGAAAAGGAAGACGATTTTGACCTTGACCTTGATCTGGAAGAAGAAATTGCAAACCTGTCTCCTGGGAAACCCCACGATGATTCACATGAAGGATATAATGAAGATGATTTATTACTGGAACTTGATGAAATGATCAATGATTAGGATTCACAGGTCATACGTTGATAGAAAGCAGTGGTGTTGGAACTAGACATTTGTTCATAGATTGCATTATCGTGGGCAGGCTAGGAAGTACAAAATGGATTCTTTACGGATTCCTGGGTGCAGATATCTTAAGTAGATCGAAAACTATACCTTTTAAAGTACAACAACAATAAAGCAAAGAACAAAAAACGAGAGACATTCAAGAGCAACCATGAATAATTTACAAAAAATAATTTTTAAGGCAAGACTTCTGAGAACAGCCAGAACTTCTAAAAACAGTCAGAGATTACTAAGCAGTACCCTTCGTATAATATAGCAGTTTTAAAAAGAATTACTCTTTGGCATGATGTATGCAAGGGTTTTTGATTTTATTTCATACTTCTCGTTGTGGCCATTCCATATCTGACAGGATGCAATTGCTGGGTTTCAATCAGCTGTGAATCTCATCTGCACCAAATGGCGGCCAAACATTGACCAAATTGTGCTGTTAACCCGAAAGAATACTATTCTGATAAATTGTGATTCATCTGTTGAACATTCTGCACTAGACAGGAAATGACGAAACCCAGTAATTAGGAGCTACTTGTAAAGTAGCCATCTTCATAACATATGGTAACAGCAATCCGCTTCATTTCCTATTGGATTCCGCGTACGTCATCGCAGCAGTGTTGTTGCTATTTAACAAAATATTTCTCATTAGCATCCATTTTTAATGGCACCAAGTATTGCCGCCAAGTTTTCGTCTTTTGGCTCTTGGGAATGCTTGCAACCCAGCATTTCCTCATCCAAGGTCAAAGAAATCAATCCATACATAGGTATTCAAGATAAAAATACGCTTTCCATTATAAACTTTTCTTTATGAAATGCTGGTAGTTAAGGAATCCTCGTGTTAAGGATAATTTATTATTAGATATTTGTGATATTTGAGGATTTATTCATAACTGAATGTAATTGAATTGCCCAAAAAGTCATGGGGCAGTCAATCTATAGCCTAAGCCATACGATTTCTTTAAAGTAACTCAGTAAAATACTTTTTAGTGATGAAAATCTTTGCTCATACAGCTATCCTATCAGAAAGAAATTATTTTTATAGAAAATATAAGATTTTGAGATATATTGGAAGTGTAAATATATAATGGAGACTTATTATGTTGCAAAGTTTCCAATTTATTGGGGTTTGTTAATTATGTTTTCGTTGTAAATAAAAGAGTACCTATCAGTAGGTAAATTTGATACGCACTTGTAAGTACGAGTTCTTTGTTTTGCTACCTTATGTAGACAGACCAGAAAACCTTACGGTCTTCGGAAGCTCTGCACTTGGGCTGCCTGTGGACAGACCCGACACTAGAGAAGAACGTTTGCGCATGCGTGCATTAGCACGTTTTATAAGAATTTTACACGTTTGAGTGAGAAAGTAAATGTTTGTTTTCTCCGAGTACACAAAAAATTTCTCGTGTATACTTTAGTGTACAATAGCATGAAGGCGTTTCGAGTCACTTAAATCAAGAAATATTTTACCCCGGCTACCATTCGACTATTTCAAGAGAAAATGAATTAAGAGAAGTAATCTCTAAATGCTTGTAACCAACATAAGGCACCGTTTGATGCTATTTTTATGATGCTTGCCACCCTTAATTTTTCTCGCGCGCACAAAATGCGCGCGCTCTACGCCGTTAACTCACGTTTTCTTGTAAAAATACTTGAAAACCTGAGCAAACAGGGTAAAGGGGGCGCAACAAAACAATTGATTAAATGAATGATTTTAAAAATAGCAATAATGATTCTAAAAATGGCATCAAAGCAAAGAGTACTCATGATGGGACGCAAGGATTTCTTCTCCTAGTGTATTTTTTCTTGACTATTTACTTCATGTAGAATCAGTACTGAAAGCAATATTGTTTAAGGGTTCATGTGTACTTTAAAACTAAGTAGTTTCACAGATTCAGCGTGTAATATATTCTTTAGAAATTGCCTACAACCTGTGAAATTTTTAAGTGTTTTAATTGTCCGTTGATGTGTAAATTCCTTTCATTACTGTGGACTGTAGTCAAATTCTAAAGAATAATTACACGCTGACGAGGCTGAGGTTGAGTAACGGGATCCCTGAAATGGCCTATTGCCTTCTCTACGCCGGTGCGAGATTTGCTATTATTCAGTAAAAATTACACCGACCTTCAGTCTTTATTAAACAATCTCCAACTTTTTTTATGTAAACAGCATGACAGTAAACATCAAAGAAACAAGAATTCTTATTTTCAACAGTTCATACACCGAATCGAAATATGGCGACCAATTTGAACTACTATTGTTCTGCGCTGACTAGCGACTGACTAGCCTCCTATACATGTGAAAATGTTTCCACGTGAACACGAGGCTAGTCAGTCGCTTGTCAGCGCAGAACAATAGTTATTCAAATTGGTCGCCATATTTCGATTCGGTGTATGGAAACAGCTAAGTAATATGCATTCCATTATAAAGATAAGATTTTGATAACGTGAAAGACACTTTCTTGTCAAAGAATAAAGAAACAGAAACTCATGAGGGGGATTGAAACGTGTAAAAAGCCATTCATTTCTTTTGTAAGAAGCTCCGGAATATTCAACTATTTTTTTAGTAAACTAGTAAATTACGTCCTCTTGCTTAAAAAATCACCAAAAGTATGATTAAAGACATATATCTGAATTGTTTGATTGAAAGGTCAAGTAAATATTTTCTGAAAGTTAGGAAATTCAGCGAAAGTTTGGTATGTGATAGAAGCGGCCATCTCGAATTAAACGTAAAATTCCAAATATGGTATCAAATCCGAAAAACTAAAAAAGAAACTTACGAGGTTCGGGATGTGGATTTTTTCTTTCTGATAAGAATAAATAAACAAACAAACAAACAAACAAACAAAC